GCAGGATGAGTAAAGGAAGAATTTAAGTCTTATAAGACGAGGTTAAGGTTTTTGGGGTGCCTTATGCACTCAAGGTGTTTATACACCGAGGTAGTAAAGGAATAAATAATAAATGTTGTTTGTCACTAATTAATCAAGAATTGAAATTGGAAACTTGCCTTGTTTGATCGAATTGTGTTTGGAATGTTTGTATTGTTATGCATATGAGTCATCACTAAGTCTAAACTTGTAAATCACGTAAAGTGAAAGATGAATGAGCAATAAAACTCTGGATTGGTGCACTTCTGGAGTAATGACAATCAGGGGTTGGGGTACACGGGGTATTAGCCGTGTACTTTTATCGAGGTCGTCTGATCTACGAGTCTCCTATTTCAAATATTATTTTTTTTTAAAACTAGGAGTTAGGTGAGATCTCATGCTAACTACGTTCACGGAGTCGCGCCCGTGGTCGTTGGATGTTTATTGATGTTTCTGAAAGGAGGCATGGGGTTTTTCTTTTATTGATGTTCCAAATGGAGCATGGGTTGGACAACCTTGTCTATTGCGTAATCCAATGAAATAAATAAATGAGTTAGTTAATATCAACTAGTGAAGTCTTAATAAATTTGATAGTTGAGTTATGTGTTGAGTCTATAATTTAATGATGCTTATGCTTGTTTATTATTAGTAGCAAGATAGGTATTTCTTAATTTATTTCGCAGCTTGTATGTACTCAGCTTTGCTGATTGCGTGCTTTTGTGTGTGCTTTTCTTTGGTCATGGCCTTCGCCTTTCAATGACCCTGTAATGATCCAATTTTTGCATTTGTAATATTGGGGAGCAGATTAACCACGGGTTCTTACATACGCAACATTTGCATCAGGGTTATGGGATTTTGAGTAGAGAGTTGGTTATTATTCGCAGTTTATTTCTTTTCATAAGTTTGAATTTATTTAAACTATGGTTTTATTTATTTATTACTTTTGTGGGGTTTTGAATAAGGGCCTTAATGGTTCCAAGTTGTATGATTTAATTTGGTTTTGGTTATTGGTTTTGAAACTTATTTATAACTGAGTTAGTTTTTCCGCTGCTAATTTCTGATATAGCCTTAACATTTGAACACGTGGCGGTAGCACGCGAGTAATTCTCTTGGATTTTTTTTCAGGGTATTTACAGGTTTTAAGAGAGAATTATTGGGGGTGTTACAAAACGTGTCCTATGTTCATATTTTTAACTAAAAATGTTCAAAATTCCAAAATATAACCAAAAACAGAATTGTTCATAATAGAATACACAAATATCAATAAAAAATCAAAAAAATATGAAAGCTACAGATTTCGAAACTCAAACCTAGCCATAGTGATTTAGATAAAGGAATCTCATCAAAAAATAATCATCTCCATCGTCTTAACCACCTCTTCCTCGTCAAATCCGCCATTTTTAACTTCACTTCATTGGAAAAACTCCATTAACAAAGCTTCAAATTGATGGTTGAAGAAAACAAACTTTTTAATTAATGTATAGTGATTAACAATGGTGATGAAGGAGTTAAATCAAAAACAAAATAATGAATGAATTTAGGGAAAAAAATATATAGGAGTGAGAAATAAAAATTTAGGAATTGTAAGAGGAAGAGATGAAGGATTTCAATCTATGGTGAACAACCATGGTGATGAAGAAATTAAATCAAAAAAAAATTATGAATGAATTTAAGAGAGAGAAAATTAGTTTAAAGAGAAGAAAGAGGAGAGAGAAATCAGAAATGAGGAAAGTGTGAGAGGAGAGAGAAAATGATGTTGATATTGTGTTGACAAATTGTAAAATATGTGGCCTCTTATTAATGGTGGTGTACATATTTTAATATGCACCATGGTCCATATTAAAATTTGTGCGGGGGGGGGGGGGGATTGACATTTAATTTAGAGGGAGAAAATAAGTGGGCCTCGCATCCCTTTTTCTCACTAGAGTTAAGTTTTGGTGGGAAAAGCCAATCTTATTTTTTTAAGTGGTGGTAAAATAAAACTTTAAATTATGTAGGTGGTAAAAGCAAATAAGTCGCTTTTTGGAGGTGGTAAAAGTCAGAATTTCCCGGAGAGCCTATTATGTACACACGGGTATACCGTACACCCGAGGTCTTGCTCATTCAATCAGCAATTAAATAAAAATATTATTTGCTCATTTGATGATTAAATGAGCAAATGGCTCTGAGTGTATAGTACACCCAAGTGTATATAACAAATTGTAAAATTAATATTTTTTTAAAATAAAGTAGTAACCAAACCTATGTAGGAATAAGTGAATAATGTTTTTAAAAAAAGTGAATAAACCAAATTCAATCGGTTTTTTTTAAAGGCAAACTCAATCCATCTTCTACAGTTCTACCTTGCGCCTCAAGCCGTAATATCTTCCTATATAAAGGAACAAATCTTTTTCTTTCTTAAAAAAACTTTAATACTTGTATACGGATTAGTTTTGTTTCTTTCTCTCTCCTTCAATTTCCGTTGAAGTTCAATCGACTTTCTCCAGTGATAATTCTGTCTTCCATTGAAGCAGCTTTTAAGCTAACATGTTGTTTCTTTTTCTAATTATCGAATACGAACCATTAATTAATTTCACAATCTAGGGTTTATAGTTTATTGAATTGTTAGTATGTTTGTAGGGAATATTTTCAAGCGTTAAACCCCTAGCTTGAACCCCACTGTGATCATACACTAAAGTACGGTGGCGTCCAAAAGGGAAGAAGATAGAGCAAAAGAGTCGCCAACAAGTTTTAGGAACTTGTAAACCATTCACAGGGTGAAGGTTACACCCCTTAATGATCCAAGAGATCGTCAACTCCATAAGGTCTAGAACCAAATAAGGGTTCGGGGATGAAGGTACAAATCCAACCTAAAAGAGATTGAACCTGCCCTAATAATAGGCCTCTACTTTATTCTGATCGTATTCATGTGCGCTTTCTGACTAACATGCAATCAGTAGGATTAACCCTAAACCCTTTAAACATGCATAAAAGGTGTGATCAAGCAATAAATAATAAATAAGCATCAAGCAACATAATAATAATAAATATCATGAATAATAATTATAATGACAATAATAATAATCATAATAATAATAATAATGTTCATAATGATTATAACAATTATAATCATAATCATGTTCATGTTAATATTAAAGCATAATAATAGCAAGATCCTAGGAATGATACTAACAAAATTAATAACAAACCCTAGCATGTCACTAAGCAATAAAAATCAAATCTTTAACCCTAACATGATACTAACAATCATAAATATTAGGAAGAACATAGGAAGCATCGCAGGAATCATATTTAATATTAAAATTACCCTAGACATGATACTAGGAATATTATAAGAACAATGTAAACATGATTTCTACATCATAATATCAATAAATCAATTAAAGCACTTACTTTGATGCCTCGTACCTCTTTCTAATAACAAAATACACACGTTAGTAACTTCAAGGAAAGTAACAATCAAAATAATTAAATTAAATAATTGAAATAGAAATTTGGGACCAAACCCTCAGAAATTAAACCTTTCACGTCTAGGGCGAAGGAAACTTCGAATATGGTTAGGTGTTTCTAGATCTAATGAATGCGGAATTTTGTATGTAAAAACAAAGTTTAGAAAAAGAAAGATGAAATAATGAATTAAAGAAGAAAACTTGATGAGAATTGGAGAATGATTAAAGAGAGAATTAGAGAATTAATGATTGCGAATGAAAACTGATTGTAGGTGAATTCGTGAGAATTGGTGAATGAAAACGGAGTTTTTAATACGTTATTTATAGAGAAAATCAGTCAAAAAGATAAAATATCAAAACAGAGCACTTGGCGCACGCAAAACAGAGCTGGCGCCAGCACCAGCTAATTGGCGCCAGGCGCCAATGGCTAGCACCAGGCGCCAGACCTGTTTTTGACGCGTTTTTGAAAATCAGATAAGTTTGCCGTATTGGGGGATAAAATCATATCTTTTCCTCGAAAATGCTTTTTGATTTTAATTAAAACTCTGAAAAGTCAACAAAAGTCAATTTATCAATGCTAATTGAATTAGGAATGAAAAGAACCTTCTAGAAGAATCTAGAAGACTAAAACCATTCCTAATTGCATTAGGAATGATAAATCATATTAGGCCCTCCCCTAGATCATTGGGCCGCATATAAGGCTCAAACCGGGCCCAGTTTGGTAAATTGGCCATAACTTCCTCAATATTCATTGGAATTGGGCTTATAATATATCGTTGGAAAGCTCTTGTCAAGCCTCATCCAACTACACTATTATTGTACCCATATCATGGACCAACCAAACTGGATTGACTGTTTTCTTAAAATAAGTTTTCAAAAACAGAGAGAAGAGAAAAGAAATTAAAACTATCCGCAACACTAAACTTTCCACACTTTCACTTCATTCGATTATGATTCGACGTGAAAGGTACTCATCACTGGGTTTGGTTTTGGGGAGACACAAATGGGTGTCTACAATGTTCAAGTTAGAGTTCTTCGAAACTCCATTAATTAATTGTTGGTTATAATTAGTTAAGTTACGGAAAAGTAAATTAATCATCATCTTTATTTGATAATTGAATCATATTTGTCTTTAATTTGGATGAAAGTATGAATTGAATCAACTTTGGTTGCTAATGTGTTGCAGAATTCTTTAGTGTTGGGATGAAATTGTGAAATTGCCCTGTATTTTTGACCCTAATGTGATAATGTGTTGCAAAACTCTTTAATCTTGGGATGGAACTATGAAATTGCCTTAAATTTATGACCCTAATTTGATGATTGAATTGACTTTAATTTGGTTGCTAATGTGCTATAGAACTATTCATTGTTGGGATGGAACTATGAAATTGCCCTAAATTTGTGACCCTAATTTGATAAATGAACTAAATTTGGTTCCTAATTGAATTTAATTGTTATTGATTATACTAAAGTTTTGGATTGTTTTGATTGTTGCAGACGTTGCAGTAGTTTGTTTGAATCAAGAAATTCAAGATGTACAACGGGATTGGGTTACAGACGCCAAGGGGTTCTGGAACAAATGGCTATGTTCAAACCAGCAAGTTTTTGATTAGGGGGAAGACGTCGAAAGTGGTTGTGGATAGAAACTTGAGGTTTGGCCCTGATCAGGGTATGGGTTGTATTGGCAAGAAGGCGAATAAAGAGATCTTGGAGCATGATCAAAAGCGCCAAATTGAGCTTAAGGTTGTGATCTTGGAGGACAAGCTAAGTGAACAAGGCTACAATGATGCTGATATTGTTGACAAGTGTGAGGATTTTCGACATAAGCTAGAAGCTGAGGCTTCTGCTATGGCTGAGGATGGTTATGGCGGTGGCTTTATTGTTTCTGATAAGAAGTAATTCACTGAGTTGTTTTTGTATAGGTGTGATCTATCATGATTATGGTGGGTAACATGAATTTTTTGTGACTTTTGTATTGCTTGTTAGAATGTGAGGTTAACATAGGGCATCCAAGATCTTGTTTTGTATTGTGTACAATTGTACATGTTTAATTGATAGAGGACATAGATGTAGAGTTTAAAATTGCGAAATATTCAACTGTACATTATAGACATATAAGTAGAAAATCTTGATTGTTGGCATTCATGGAAAACATTCAAACATTTCTTCCTTTCTAAAAGAGAGTTCCACTTTGCTTCAGAGTTCAGACATTATTACTGTATCCCTATGACACTGCATATTTGCCTCTTAAGACACAGTTATTTTAAGGAGTTTGGTGTGTTTCACGTGTTAATTTTTAGTTTTAGATTTTCCAAAAGCCACAACGGATTTGTGTTTTGGTATTAAAATTAATGCAAAACTGTTTAATACAACTATTTACTCATATTGATTTTATAAGAATTTTTTAAAGTTACACGTCTAGGAACTATCCTAATGTTTAGTACATTAGTAGGTAAAACTGTCACAACACATAAGTACATAGATCACACATAGTTTAATTTCATTCAAAAATTTGTTGGTCACAAGGAACTAACTTTCCTCCTTTCTCACACAACCCTTGCTCGTTAATCGGGCTAACCACGGTTCCATAACTATACCTCAATGACATTCTACCTAAAACCTTATGAAATTCTCTTATACACTCTCCTCTTCTCTTTCGATGTTTTCCAAGACCTCTCTTCACGCCGCTCAATCCAACACCGACCTCTTTCTCTCGTTTCTTAATAACCACCTCGTTTCTCGCATCCCCCCAATCTCTAACTCGCTCGGCCCCCACAAGGAGCGGGCCCTGCTCTGTCACATCGGCAACCATAAAATTCATCAAAATGTCCTCACAATTACACATTTTATCAACCACACCCCTCAACTTCCTAAACTTTCCCTCCAACCCCTCCCTCCCACAACTATACAAATACAAAAAGTCAACATTCAACATCAAAAACTTAGTCAACACGATCGAGTATCGATCTTGATGAACGGTGTAGATCCATTCCTTTCTCCTTAAATCCAAACTGTGCGATCTCGCAAACAATCCAATCAAACGGTCCTGATTCACCTGCCAAACCTTGAACGCAAACTCAATCGATTTGGGGTCCACCTCAACATCATCGTCACATATAAGCACGCCACGTGTCCTAATCCAACGGCGTGGAAGAAACCTCGAATTTAAACTGTTGGATTTTTGACGGACCACAGTAACAGGTGCACCCGCAGAGTAGAGGAGAGAGAAATTCGAGGAGAGAGAATCTAGGGTTTCCGCCGGCGTCGATGGATTCCCCCAAAGTACGACGACGGCGGCGATCACCGGAGACGCTGCGTAAACTCCGGCGATCGTACTCAGGAGTGAGATTCGGAGCTCTGAATATCCGTTTATGAGGACCGTTAGTTGATCGGATCGTAGTGATTGGGGATTTGGTAGGGTTTTTCGATCGCACAATGGGTTAAGGTTTAAGGAGAGAGAACGATGAGAGAGAGTTGAGGGTGGAAGATGAAGAATGATGATGAATTTGAGGAGAGAGAAAATGTATCTTCTTCGAACTTCCATGGGAGAGGAGAAGAGTTGAAAATGATATGAGATGAGTTTTGAGTTAGATCCGTAGAGGTCTTGAGTCAGCGGTTTATTGTTCGTGTATGTGAGATGGACTAATCTCGGATATTAACCTAAAATTTCTCGGCTTCTAATAAATTTAATAATTCGTGGTTGAGAAATTGTGGGTTTGGAGTGACGGTTTAGTGTTTATGTGTGTGAAATTGATCAGTCTCGGAACAATTTGTGTGGTGGGAAATTGTGGGTTCGGAGTGGCTATGTGGTGAGCGAATAATGGTGAACTTTATTGTTTATGTGTGTGGGATTGATTCATCTAGGATGTGAATAATATTTCTAGACTTTTCGTGAGTTTTGTGTGGTGGGATCGGAGTGGCAATGTTGTGAATATGGTGAAGATGAAGGGTGATTTTTGGCAGGGGTTTTATGTGAACGTTAGCAGTTAGTATTGGTTGGTAATTGGTTGTTTTTGAAGGAATTGATGGGAGTAACAATGGCAGCTCTTTTGCCAACTGTGAAGTTCAATTTCTTGCCAAAAATTCCATCATCTTCAAATTCATCTATAAAGAGGGTGGTGGGATTAAAGCCAGTGTTTTGCTCAGCTGTTCAGGAAGTGGAACAACAGGTATATCTCTCTTCTTTCTCTCTCTAACTTTATCTAATTGAAGCATCGTAACTATACATGTTACACCAAGAATTATGGTTAAGCATGTGAAATTTGCTTTGGTTGCTTATGAGATCTTTTGAAATTAGGATTAATGTATTATTTCTAATTTTGTTTAAATTTTGTAAGTACAGTGCTCATTGCTTGACACAACATTGTTGGGTGGTGGTAGTGGTGTGAGTGAGCGGCTTGAAATATTCGTAAAGGATTAAAGTAGATTTAATTTTGAGGGCTTGTTTAAATAGAATGAATATTGTACTTATACTGTTGAATTTTATATAAGATAGGATTAATGTGTAAATTGTTAGGGGCCTAAAGAATGGGTTTCTGTGGCCTTATGCATACTTGAGTTCATCTTCTTTTATTGCCTTTTTTTTTATCATCTTTGGAGAGCCAGAAATGATGCAATGTGGAATCAAAAAATTTCTAGAATTGATAAACTTGTAAAGCAAACTATAAATGGTGGTGAATAGTGTTATAGGTCCTAAGATCACAGAAAAGGATAAATTCTGGTTTGATTCTTTGTATTGCAAACGAATTGTTGGCTGGTAGCCTGGTTTGTTTTGGATTTACTGTATCAATAAAGTCCTTACTAAGTTTTTTTAGCAGCATAACTCAGGGAAGGTAGAGAGAGAAAAAATAGGGCCCACGCGAACTGAGAGAGAGAATTCATTAACTAAAGAGGAAAGTGATGTACTCCCTCCGTAACTTTTTACTCGCAACCATTACTATTTTTAGCCGTAACACATTACTTGCAACAAACTTGTTTCTTTTCTTTTATGGTAAATTTTTTTGTGTGATTTTACAATATTACCCTTACTTTTTTTCTTAAATACCCTAATTAAACTACTGATTATAACTTAATAATTTAAACCCTAACATTAACTAACTTAATTATTTCCCCAAAATCATTACTCTCCCATCTAAATTCATTCTCATCTTTTGTAAAAAAAAAGGTTCTTTCTCATCTTGATTGGGAACCACCACTAGTCCACCACCAATCTCCATTCTTTGTTCATCACCCAAAAATTCACCTCAGTACACCACCGTCTCCGGAAGTTGCTGCCGATGTCCCTTTTGTTGCGGCCGCCTCCGTTTTCTCTCTCTTCCTCTTCTTGTTGTTTTGTCATTGCGGTGAAGCACGTATTTGAAGGTTTTATGGTTAAATTTAACCATGAAAACTCTAGATCTGGATTTTTGATGGTTAAATTTGACCAATTAAAGCTTTAATTGATGATAGAGAGTTGTGGGTTTCGGATTTTGGGGTTATGGGTTTGGGTTCAAGTTTGTGGGTTGTGGATTTTGGGATTGGGGGTTCGTGGGTTGTGGGTTTCGGGGTTGTGGACTTGTGGGTGGTGGATTTGGGTTCGTGGGTTGTGGGTTTCGGGGTTGTGGGTGGTGGTTCTGGGTTGTTTGGTTGGTGGTTCGAATTTTCTGGGTTAGTGGGTTGGTGGTTCGAATTTTCTGGGTTCGTGGGTTGATTTGGTTGGTGGTTTGAATTTTCTAGGTTCGTGGGTTGGTGGTTCGAATTTTCGGGGTTGTAGGTGGTGGTTTTGGGGTTGTGGATGGCAGTTCTGGGTTCGTGGGTTACATTGTGGGTTTCGGGGTTGTAGGTGGGCGAAATCGGGGGTGGTGCTAGGTGGTGGTGGTATGGTGCAAGGCGGTGGTGGTGCTGGTGATAGGTGGTTGTAATTGATGTTTTTTTTTTTTTTTTAATTTGGGTTGGATTAATATTAAACACATGCCCTTATTTTTTGTTAATTACATTTACCTATCTAAATTGCAACTGCCATATGATGCAAATAACGGAGGAAGTAGATTACTCTTGCTTACTAGGGTTTAAAAAAAAGGAAAATTTAACATAAATAGACAATCCTTTGGGCGGTTCTCCAATATTGGACTAACCTTTAAATCTGCCCATATTAGACACAAGTTTAACATTTTTCTCCCAAAATGAACCAATCAGGTTACCTTACATGTATACCAGGTAAAATTCCACTTGTCATTAAATTGTTAGTCGAGTTTTTTTTTTTTTAATTTTGATAATTTTTACAAAAAAAAAAATAAAAAAAAATCACCCTTCCACCACAGTCAGCCTCTCCCCTATCAGCGGCCACCTACACCTTAACCTTCGCCACCACCACCACTTCCATCCACTACAACACCACCTATGTAACCACCATGCCAACAACCAAAACCACCGAAATCACCATACGACCATATCTACCAACCAAACCACCATACCAACCCACCAAAAACATCGAAACCACCATATCCAACCCACCGAAAACACCCATACCAACCCACCGAATACAGTCAAAACTCCATCCCAACCACCAACCAACCCTCCAAAACCATCCAAAAACGCATACCCAAAACCTGCCATAACCATCCTCTCACCACAACCACCAAGATCCAAATTCCACCCCACCCAACTCGCGTCCACACCGCGAAGCTACCCCACACTCACCCATAACCACCACTGCACCTCTCCTCCGAAATCATCCCATTTTCCCTTAATTTCTCAATATTCCAATTCTTCTATCTTTCTACATCAATTTCTCACTTTTTTCCGGTTTAGGGGTTTCATGGGGAGTAGGATGTGGTCGGAAAATGTAGTGGGAGGAGTTGTTCAAAAATGGGAGGTGAAGAGGGAGGGGTGTGGTGGCTGGAAAGGGAGGAGAGGTGGAGGAGGGGGTGGTTGGCAGTGGGGTGAGGGGTAACTGTTTTTTTTTTTAAATGTATTTTTTTTTTTAATTTGAAAAAGATAATTAAAGTTTTTTAATTAAAAAAATAATATAATTAAAAACAATGACCGGTTGTACAAGTTAGTGGTCATATGAGTTCATTTTGGGAGAAAAATGTTAAACTTGTGTCTAATACGGGCAGATTTAAAGGTTAGTCCATTTTGAGAGAATGGGGCAAAGGTTGGTTTATTGTTGTTAAATTTCCTAAAAAAAAAAAGATAAAAAAATTCTATGATGAATTTTTATTGACAAGCTTCTTTTATTTCGAAATTTGAACCTTGTTTCTATAGGAGTAGGACTGGATTGGGTGGAGGACAAGCATATGCTTTAAAAAGATGGGTAAATCTCAGACCCTTCTGTGTGCCATCTTTGTGAATGAAATTTGACTTTTTATTCAGAAATCATTGAACTACTATCTGCTCTGTGTTGTACTGTACTCTAAATGACTATATCTGTTATATGGCTTCAAAGTGGGTTTTTAAATTTACTCATTTAGAAAAATATTAGAGGTTCTTTGATGATGAAACTATTGTAGGCTTATATCAGTGCTGTTTGTCAAAGTTTATTATCTACTTTATAAGATAACAAATCATTTTACTCCAAATTATTGATGCCAAAGGAAGAGTGATCACTCTACGGAACTCTCATCTTATCTACAATAGATAAAAATAAATAAATAAATAAAATTGAGATAAGGACCAAAACCTATTGGTCTCATACTCTCATTCAACATCTGTAATAACAACAGAATGTAAACATTCTAGTTACTGCACTTTGTTACATTATAAGGAAGCAGGTTGTCTCTGTTGAGCTGTGTACCTGTTGTCTCTTTGATTAATTTGTTTTTCTCTATACTGCCACATTGTTCTTTAAGTCCTACCTTCTAGTTTAAATGTTGCTGAACTGATCCTTATTATTAACCTAACTTCAACTGTTTAGGAATCAAAGGTAGGAATTTTGTGTGAACCTTGCAACGGAACAGGATGGCTACTTTGTGATTTCTGCAATGGACAAAAAACTAATGTGAAGTCTCAAACAAATAAGATCTATCGTCGATGTCCATCATGTAAAGCGGTAAGTGATTTATATTTTTATATCACCACGTTGGAAAAACTCGAGATGTTTTTAGCTGCTTACAGCATACATAATCCATGATGTCTAGCTATTGATTAGTATCTCATACGAAGTATATGAGAAAGTAAAATGGAGACTATAGTGATGCCATTAGTGGAGGATTGCCCAATATCTTACATGCTGACCTCAAAGCAAAGTATCAGCTGCAAAATTGCCCATCAAACAATATAACATCAGTCATCACTCCCTCCCCCACCTCTTTGTATCTACCACTTTTCTCACGGTATCTTTAGAGGTCAACTCAGTTTATAAGTAGGTAAAAATTCTCTTACAAAATTATACTGTTTATTTTTAATTTGATGCCTTACTTTTGGTCTGTTTTTCTATGCTCAGTTTGGAGGATGAGAAAGGGAAGGTAAGGAAGAGCAGGGAGATGAGACATGGAAGGCAAGGAAGAGTAGGGAGAGTGATGGAACTAGTTCCTATTTAGGTAATATTTAGGCTGGATTGGGGAAGGGAAGGAAGTAGTTTCTTCCCTCTAGATGGACTCCCAAGTTGTATTGATTCAGATACAAAATTAAATCTGCTTTGCTTTCCTCTTCATCTTTATGCTAAAAAAAAAAAATACAGTGATCTATATTTCTTTTCCTCTCCAATATACCATGGAGGTGACAGGCAGAGGGATTGAGTAGGGGCAGGTTAAGGTGGTGTAAGGAGGTAGGAGGGTAGTTCAGGAACACTCATTGAAAGGAAGTGGTCTTAGTAAAGAAGAAAGCAGTATGTTGGTATTGAGTTATTCTTGAATTGTTACGAGAAGATGTAGAGTGCTTAGGGGATTTTTTCCTCAATACTTTCCTCCTTTTGGCTGAGAGTATCCCAAGGCCATGATTTCAATTAACTATCATACATTGTTCAGATTAACTTGTTTTTGTCTTCTTCCTCCCTTAGACTCTATTTCCCACTTAGGAATTAAGATGATGACTGTCTTTTAATTCTTCAGAGGCAGTCTGACTGCAACGTAAATAGTAATTTTTGATGTGAAATACGTCCTGGTGAAGGGTGCCATAGCTGTTGTGTTGCCTAGTATACATTTTATAGCTTGAATATATGGTGTACTTGGTAATATTTTTTGGGGATTGCCATTTGACTGTTCGATCAAATTTTATCTGCAGACTGGATACATATTGTGCGCGAAGTGTAAAGTCTTCAAATGTGTTACATTCCCAGATCAGAGTGATGGTGAGCAGCTTTCATTTTGAGGATCGAACTCTTATGAAAAACTAGCTTGTACTTGATGGGACAAAGGCTGATGACAATCTTAAGGCAGTATAAATCTTACTTTATAATTTTTGGGTTGGAGAGGAGGAAGGGGGCCAGAAAAATATGTTCTGTTTACTCTCCTCCTATTTTTCCCTTTTGACCAGCAATGCAGAATATAAATAGTATCTCATTTCAGAATTAGCTGCTCTCACTTTTTTCTTTGGTCTATGGTCCTTTAGGGACTTGCCACACCCATTGTTTTGTTGTTGTTGTGGATTTTTTTGTTGTATACGCATTAATTTGTACAGAAGCACCATGTTTATTTTTCATTGACAATCAATCACTGTGATAAGTTTGTCTGAGAAGAGTGAGAACAACATACTGTTTTCTTTTGGTATTGCTTACTGTTCTTTTGTTTTAAGTTGTCTTTCATTAATCGTTTTAGAGGAGACAATTTTACCTTTCCGTGTTGTGAAAGATAACTGAAATTAGTGGAATGTAATGATAAGAAAACAAGTCATGGCTCAACAAAGAAGTAACAATGTCAGCACACTTGGAACAACCCAAAAGCATAAGGTAATGGCTGAATAAATATGTTTCCAGCGTTTGGTATTTCAGCTTATTATGGATGCCTTAGTGGACAAAAGCATACAGATAAATCAATCCAGTCGAAACTTACTGTGTTTTACTTGTGCTAGCTTTGTTAGTCCATCAGTGGGGAGTATTTTTATTATCTTTGATGACAAGGTATTGAGTATTGTGACTGAAATTGATCACAGCAATGGTCAGGCAAAGTCTTTTTAGTGATATTAGAAACTCAGTAACTAATTTGGGAATTCCATTAAGATGAAAAAAATGAGTTATGGAATAAAGGTCCTGTTAGGACTGTGCATCTGTGCCATTGAATAAGTTGCGGCATAAGGGCTTACTCAGTGAATTATACATTGACAAGGAACATAATTTTTTGCTCAGGTACTTACTTTGTGTAGTTTAGTACAGTCAATCATATTCCTAGTAAATTTGAACTTGTTACAGGAAACTTAGGAAAGCCTCTGTCCTGAGCAGCTGTGCAATTTATGCGGTAGTTATTAGAAAAATTAATTCATATAGTATGATGGGATCTGTTCTTTTTGTTAGAAGCGTTGTTTGTTGGACTGCTTGGACATGTAGAATACTCAACCTCACTCACATGTTTGATCTGTGTAGCTTCTTTCTAACGAAAATTGATGTGTTAGTTTGTAATTTAGGCTTTAAAGAGTCATTTTGTGTTTCTTGATTTACCATCTTTATGCTAAAGACCACAATTGCAGAACCAGTTGGTGAAACTCTTACAACAAATCCTTTCTGGATTGACAATTGTTATCCTTCATGTTGTTAAGGAATTTATAGGAGTATGAACACCATGGGTGATAAATTTAGTAGTCTGTTCCTCCCTCCAGTTATATCTAAATACGTTTTTGATGCAGATTTATGTGTATATATATAGTGTATGACATTGATTCTAGAAATTATGCTTAGTTCATCTGCATGTCTATAGCACTGCGATGATGAGATTGTTTATGGAACATAGTGGAGTAGTCTTTTTGTATGTTTTAGGTGAAGAAGAGAAAAACTATGTTGATAAAAGCAGATGGTATTCTAAGACAGGTCTCTAGCACAACTCCCTGGAGCCTGGACATAACAGATAAGCTAGCAGACATCACTTGGCCACTATGAAGACAAAAAAAAATATGTTATCAAGGAATATACTTATAATTCTACTGTTTGTTTTATTCTAAGTATCTTCCATTTCTTTGTATTCTCATCTTTATATCATTGGATGTTGCATGGTACACTCTTCAGGGACTTGTTTTGGAAAGTCTGCACGACTCTACATGCTTATGCCTCTTCATGTCAACTAAAGACTTCACATGGACCAAAGGTAAAATTACTTACCATGTGCTCTGTTGCTTAGTTTTGATTGGACAATAATGTTAATTATTCTGCACGAAAGCAGATGAATATATTTATCATTTCATAGATCTGAAGTCAAACAGAAGCTTATAGCCTTGCATATTTGTTTACATTTTTTCTATATTTTGCCAGCACATGTGAATCAATAAAGAGAACATGCTATAGTTGCTCTGTTTACACTGGTTTATGGGAACTTGTAGAATGCAATATGCTATTATAGTATTGTCCTACTTGTTAGATCCGCATTGGATACGATTCCTTCATGTTTGTATAGTTTGCTTCTATGCCTGATTTTTTGGTCCTGTTGTACGGTAGTTTTTTTTGTTAAAAAGGGAGATCCTAATAGCTGTTAACTAATCATAGTTTGGACAACTGTAACAGATGCTAGTGCTAGATCATATCTTCTTTAGAACCCTATACAGGTGAAACTGTTAGCATATCTCTTTCTTTCAGAATATATTGCTGTGATTTGAATAAACTATGTACGGTCTTCAATTTCCAAGAAGTTGCTAAATTCTGATGTTGTATTATGTACCAGAGGTGAATCTATCTAATGACAATTCATGCTTGCATCAAAGCTATTGGCTTCTAAGGAGTTGGGTAGCTTGATTTGGCTCCACACATTTGGTAACACTCCTCCTAAATCTCGAGTCACTTTAAATTGCTCCTAGCACTTGTCCAAAAAAAAAGAAAAAACCGTACCATGGCCCCATGGGTCAATATTTATGTGAAAATTAGAATAGTAAGCAATGTTTGAAGCATGTTGAAGCCTTTGGGACCGGGCTTAGTTATGCTTGATTCATTACATTCTCGAGCAGGACTTGGTTAATTTGCAAGCCATTTAGGCTCATTCCTTATCATTGACAATTAATTGGAGCTTTTCTCTAGAATATAACTCTTTGTGGAATCAATTTTGTCTAAATACGTTAAATTTGTATATGATAAATAGATGAGTTACTAAATTTTTTGGATGTAGTATCTCAGTGGCTCAGACTGTAGATGGAATTCTGAGTCTGTTGTCTTAGTGGCTTCCTTTGAACAGATCAAAATCTTCTGAGATATTGATGTCTAAAATTTTAAATACCAACATTACCAGACTTTCACTATTAGGCACCTTATTGTTTCCTTAGCATAGAAAGTCTTCCCTGTTAATGAAATTAGCATAGTAACTGAATTTACAATTGTCAACAGGGTGGTCACTGGTCAGAGTGGCTTCAGATCAAGTTTTATCTAAAGACTATCGTGAATAGGACCTTGTTCTGGTACGTTAGTGATGAATTATATTGTTGGACTGTTATTATTTTGTGACTCTTGCTTCATGCTTCTGATAATATAGCATGATGGATGGCTCTATTCTGTGTGCTTTGGTTTTGCAGTCGATTGAGGTTGTCTTAGTGCATTGTGAAAGGGATTGCTACTATATGATTATACAATATACATACAGGCATACAGCTTATATGTGTTGAGTTAACTAACATGTTTATTATCTTACACATAGTAATTTGAACAAATGTCCTCAAAGTAAGTACAAAAAGATTGATTTAAGGTAAGAAGAAAGAAGAAGATTAAAAAAAAAACCTACCTTTTGTGATAGTTTTTATGAGGTAATACTTTCTAGATAAGAAACATGTTAGCAATCTAGCTTGAGTTGTTATTTTACATGGTAAACAGTTTTTTCCATCATTGACCTCATTGTTGCTGTTGGTATTGGCTGTTGGGAATCCATTTTTAAGAACTTGTAGTTTAATATGTTATACTTCTTTTGATTTAATAACCCATTTCTTGTTACTTTGGTAGGCTGAAATGTTTATACAGTGGAGAAAATTTTTCCCAACATTTCATATTCAATTGTATTTCTGGAGCAAAACAAGAATACAAAGGTAATTTGAACTCTGGAGGATAACAAACGTATAAGATATGGTGACTTCGGTTACTATAGCCGATAACTCGGAAGTCAAATTACAATGGTATTTAAACTCGTCAAATTACATGAGCTTCGGACATGATGCTATTAGTCAGCATGCTTTCTCTCACATTTTCTATATATCAACTTTCTTCCTGCTTCTAATGAGGTATAAAAAAAGGGGGAGAAAGGAATTAGATTGATGTATATTATCTGCACATTGGGGTTGGGGGATGTTGAGCTTGTGAGAGGCTCTGACTATCTGATGAACCACATACAATCCCATCATTTCTGCTGAACTTAAGGCCTTGTTTAGCCTGTGAGCTGTTTTTTTCCTCAACCGCCTTCAAGATGTTCTCGAACACTTCTACTTCACAGGGAATCCTCAGAACACCTTCCTTCTGGTAACCAAACTCCTCCTCAGCTTCTTTCAGCAGGACGCTAAATGCTTGGTGACTCAAGTACTTTGTCGGGATGACAAAGCGCTTCATCTCCTCACCGACTTGAACAGCCAAGAAACCTTTGGGGACAGCATTGTTGCTTGGCACCCCATTGTTGGCTGAGAGGTCGGTGAAAGAGAGAGTCCTTTTCAGGAAATTGATGCCTTTGATGCTGTTGCTCCTAGTCAATGAACCCTTTTTAGTACTGCTGCTGCTGCTGCTGTTGCTGCCGGAGTTGCTGATATTGGCCTTAGTATCATCAAGGGGCAGGAAGCCTTTGCTTGACATCCCGTTGTTGGCTGCTAAGTCCGTGAAAGAGAGCGTCCTCCTCTTTATAAAGGTATTGCCTTTGCTATTGCTCCTATTTAAGGAACCCTTTTTAGCATTGTTGCTGCTGTTGTTGCTACCATCGTTGTCGTCGGTGTTGCCACCATTGACCTTAGCCTCATGTGCTTGTATCCTCCATTTCTTAAGCTTCTGCTTGAGCCTCACAATGTCACTTATTCTGTTGGATGGTTTTGATGAGTCCATTTTAGGTTTTTTAAATTTAGAAGAAGACAAGCTATCTCTGTGAAAAATGCTTACTATTTTTGGTGTTTATGAAAGTTGCTAATCCAAAGTTCAAAAATAGGCTATTTATAGAGGATACTGTCACTGAAAAATTAATTCTTCTGACAGTATTTTAATGCTAATTATTGTACTATTTGTTCTTGGTTGAAGATAAAGGACAGTTTAGATCAGCAATTCTTTATATCAAGAAGCTGGCCTTTATTGGTTTTCGTAATCTTGATGTTTAATCACAAGTCTTAAGTTCACTCTCAAAGCCCCATTTTTTACTCTTTATCCCCCCTCACATTCTATTCCTATTTTCAAGCTTACAAAGTCACATGGGTTACTGTTTGTATCATTGATGAAAATGGAGTGATTCTAGGAGTTAATCAAGTCCCTCTTGTTGGGCATGATGGCCCGAGACTAGGCCCGAACAATGGAAAGAAAACCTACTTTGTCTTGAGTTTAAATTGTCTCCTCTTCCCTGTATTCAGCCTTTATCCGATCTTATGTCATTTTTTTATTAATGAGTGATTCAAGTGATACCTTTTACTGTTGATGTCCTACACTTGATGAGTAAATGATAATTGTTGTGAAATTATGATTCATTCATTATCGATTCAAGGTTAAATCTATGTGAATGTGGTCAACAACATAAAGGATTAAAATTGATGCATATTCATATTATTCGAAACGTATTATTGGAATCATAGGAGCTAACGTTAGTTGATAGGCATGTAAAGAAGATATTTATGCCTTACCAATGATTGATATACAATGAGTCAATTAGTATGATAACTTATTGAGGTGATTTTTATGGGATTTTTGGGTGATGTGTCAAAGTTTTACACCAACACACACATTAACACATCTATTATATGATCTTCATCTACCAATAAAATTGATGAAATGAAAATTGCATTTTCTGTTAATGATTTGTTGTTGATAATTGAGATTTGACTTTTGTGATATGAATAATTGGAAGGTTTTTTAGGTGGCTTGAGTCATAGAAATGGTTGTTACATTTTGGTGTAGATCATTATTGGTTAGTTGGTTGCACTATGAGGAAAAATGAAGATAATGAACAATTATTTCCCACCTACTGAGGAAGTTTTATAAATATTCATACTTCCAACTTCCTATGTTACATTTTAAATCTTCTTACTTCTTATTTTATTGATCTTCATACTTTCGTTTTATTTATTTTATGGAAAATAAAATTGTCTTTTATAACGTACACTCCCCCCTCGTATATATGTGTCAATGCACTACTATATCTTTAGAAAACCTTTGTACACCAAAAGATACAACCTTTTCTTTTCTACGCAATTAATCCAAACAATAAAGAAAGAACATACTATTTACATATTATCTCATTTTTTGTGGTTCTCATTGTACAATATACCTCACGTAATAAAGAATATAATAAAAGGCATATGGAGTACAGTAGTAATAGGAATATAAGATTAATTTTCTACAAGAGCATTGATTTTAAAGTAATTGAATATAAAAATAAAATAAAATAAAATAAAAAAAAGTTTATTGGGTTGCTTAATCATTATGAATCCTAGTGATTAACCGACTAAACTGTCAATCTCCATGTGAACTGAGGTACTACCCCATTGTACGTTCAAGTTTGACTCAAAATTTTATTGCCACTTGGCTTTGATTAACTAACTTTTCCTTTTCCTTTTTAATCTTTGGTATCTCGATGGACTCGATCCATAGATAAATATTGTACGGACTAAAAATTTTAGAACATGGTTTCATATTTCAAGCAACCAATTATATTTACATGATGAATTATATCATTGTTTGTTGTTTGTTTCTCTTAAAAAGTAATTAACCAATCGAGCAGCTGCATAATTGTGCCAGAGTTTTTGTTTGACTAATTCATGGAATTAATACCATTTTCATTTTAATGCAAGTATACTAAAATATTGTATTTGTAATAATTACTTCCCATATATATGATTTAACACATGCATCTATGTCTAAAAAAGAATCAACTTTAATGAGAAGGTAATGTGCAATGTGCTAATATTATTAGTACCAAGTAGTGCTTAGTTTAGCCAATAAGGGAGTTGTGTTAGCTTAATCAAGGTCTCCGACTCTCTGGTTCGAGACTTGGGAACGTGTCACTTGTTGGGAGAGTTTTCTCCTCCCAATAGGGATCTGACCCAACTTGGATCTAGATTAGTCAGAGTCTAATATGTACTGGATTACTGATTTTCATGAGACATGAAAAATAGTTCTCAACTTCTCGTATATATGTAATAAAAATGCGACTCTCATTGTTTATTTTTAATTTTTTTGAATTTAGACTTACAAAATAACTCAAATTTGATATAAGGATAAATCAAACATTTTTTAATTACTCTATAATGTTTTTAAGCAAATGTCAAAAAAATAAATAAAAAATTGATGAGCAAAAGCACAAGAACCAATAAGAGCAATGCAAAGTACCAAACCTTAATTTGATAATTGTATCCAAGGGATCACCACTGCACACACATACAGTTGCTTAATTGTATGATGGAAAAGTTTATTTTAAATGCAACATGTAAATTTACTTAGTTGATAAAGAAATCTCTGATCTAAGTCTTTAGTCAAACAATGGATGCTTGCTTTCAAGGTTTCATTTTTGTATTATAAATAAATCTCTTTTTCTAGTGTGTGATTGCTTCTTCTACTGCTTGCCTTTTTATGCTTTCTTGTTAAATTTCTCTCTCTCTTCTTTTATTTGTTTAAAACTTTTGTATCATTGTATACATGTATACTAACTTGACTATTATTCTAAACTACTCCGTACTATGTATGGTTTTTAATTATATACTTGTATAATACGGAGTAGTAATATATACAAACAAGTGTTCATTGTTTAAGATTATTTTCTATAAAGTACTTTATGTTTTGTAATAACTAAAACTTTAATAAGATTAAAGATATTTGTTATGATGCATGTGTAAAAGTATTCTAGATATTGATTTGAGTGATACACAATATGTAAAGATCCACTTGCAAATCAATTACTACTCCATACTTACGTACATTACTCTAGTATCAAACTAACAACTTTAGCAAAACAATAAGTTAAGCCAAATGGTGTTTTTTATTTTTTTTTATTTTTTTAAAAAAGGGTTAAGCCAAATCAACAGGGAAGTCTCAAAAAAAAAAAAAATATGTTTGTTGAAATACTACAGATTATTACTAATTGACATAATTTATTCTAGTTATTCCACTATTTTACATTTATTGCATGCCTTAGCTTTTTAGGAGGGTTACAGCAGGTGAGTTAGGGTCAGTAAAACTTTGTGCCCTTGCTTAACATAAGCCACAAGGATTAAGAGTAGAACAAAGATGAGTGACCTCGTGGGAAGACCTCATGTTAGTTTATATAGCTGACTCCACTTATGAGATTAACGCGTTCATATAAAAGAAGAAAAAAATGATGATGATGATGAGTTGGCTTTGTAGCTATGTGCATTTGATAAATATTATTTTGGTTGGAATGTAAATTGCTATTTTTTTGATAATTTGTGTTTAATTTCCAGTTTCACACAAACAAATCATATTTTTAATAATAAATTTTAAGAACTAAACTAGTTAAAAATCCACATGGAGAACTAACAATAATTTATTTTTATTTTAAAAAAAAAAAAAATAAGAACTCACAATAGTTTTGAATATCAATTTAATAAGCTCTAAAAATTAAGGAATCATTTATTCCCTCGAAAAATATAATTTATCTTCCACTAAATTTAAGTAAAACTATAATTTCATATTATCAAACTACATGCAAGTGTATGGTTTCCCAAAAAAAAAAAAAAAAAAAAAAAAAAAAAAAAAAAAAAAAAAAAAAAAAAAAAAAAAAAAAAAAAACTAAGTATGCAACAGGCCATAAGTCGCTCTTTATGTGCGTCTATTATCAAATTCAAGCCCACAAAAGAGCAGCTTGTTTAATATTAGCCCACTGACAATTTATGTGCGTCTATAATGCCTTCGGCCCATATCCTACATGAGCATTAAATCTATGTTCTTCACTTCTTTGCCTAATAATTGTTGCTTTTTTATAAGGAGTATTCATTATTCTTAAAGGTGTGTTTGTTTCATCTTTATTTAACTTATATTATATGAAGTATTGTTTTAGAAAAAGTAATTTTCCATAAAATAAGTTTAAACTAAATAATTCCAGAAAAAAAAAAAAAAATAAGATTAGTAAAATTTAAATAAAATAAATAAGTTGATACAAAATACAATATTCTCAGATTAAATCATATGAACCAAACAAAACCTAAAGGTCATATATCATTATCATTAATAAATTAAAAAATAGCCTGTCATAGGTTGTTTATTGCATGAGTATTAATCATAGTATTGAACTAATTTTTTTTAATTTTTATGTATGTATTGATAGTATGTTAGGATAAAGGAAGGGGAGGAGGGTCAAGGGTGGGGAGGGATGGAAGGAAGTGATGATGAGTTTTTCTTCCAAATCTCTTTATTGTAGGAGAAATTAATTTCTTATAATTTAATCCGTCTTTTTTTTTTTTTTTTTTTTTTTTTTTGCTTTTTTTGCTCCAATACCATTCCCTCTTCAATTGTTATCCAAATGGAAAATACTCCATTCCTCTATTTTCCTTCCCTCCATTCCCTTCAGTCCAAACACACTAGATCCTACATGAATTATAAACTAAGCTATATTAATGTTATTACTTGTATAATTTTACAATTTATTACTCCATATCATGTATAACGAGCTACTATATTGAGCTACGTTTAATATAAATTTACACTATATGATGTGTGACATCCACTTCACTAACTTGTGACTTGTGGAGATGTCTCATTTAAAACTCTTGTTCAATTGTGAGTGTCATTAAGAATTTAAGCACTAAGTTAAAAGTATACCTTTGATGGGCTTAGGTGGCTCCCTAAAATAGTAAGCACCTGAAAATTCTAAGTGTTTAATGTCATACGAG